AGACTTCTCCTGACCCACCCGCTGCTCCCCTCAGCAGTGTATGTCAGTCAATCTGCCTGTTCTGCTCCCCACTCTGTCTCTGGTGAATCCTCTCACCCCCAGTGCCTCTGGCCTGTACCCCAGTTCTGTATGCATAAATAAATAAATCTTTTTTAAAAAAAGAAACTACTTTTACTGAAATAAATGCCCAAATATTAAATTGTATAAGATATATAGATTATGATATATATGCGATATATATAATTCATGGCTATATATCTTTTTTCTTATCCAAATGGCGGCAACGCATTCTCTCAGCAGCCAGACATGCACTGTCATTACCTTCCATTGCATTGGTATGTTGCCTACATTTAGTCATGAAAACTACAGCTTTCTAGTATTTTCAATTTTGTGATGATAAAGATGTATTTACAAAACATGTAACAATGTGTTACCTTCAGCCACCTAGGTAAACTTCAGTTAAAATGTAAATATGAGTCAAATATTTCATTGGTATGCTTGTCTCAAGCCTGGCTCCACAAACACCTCTGTCCACCTTCCTGATATAGGAAATAGAGCTGGTGTCTCCATGGCAATTGTAGTGCACCCCCACACCTCTCAGTGGGGAGAATTTTGGCATGCTATAATTATCCTCAGTTTGTTCCAGACACATCTTCCCTGTTCCAAGATTTGGAACCATCTACTCCAACAGAGAAGAGTAGTTGAAATGAAGCTCTTTGTAGGGTGTTTCCCTAAACTGTGAGCCAATTCTCCAGAATTTTCCCAGAGCTGTATCAACTACCCAGAGAATGGGCTGCGACCCCACCCTTGGTCAAAATGTATTGGACTGTACCTCCCTGGTGGTGCAAGGGGTTAATCTCAGCAAGATCCATATATATATATGGATATATATATTTGGTCTTAAAAATATATAGTGTTGACTCTTGAACAAGCTAAGTTTGAACTAATAGGTTCACGTATATGCTGATTTTTTTTGGAAACAGACAATGTAAAGGGACAGTATTGACAAGTATTGCACAGTTCTGTATATGTGTTCTCTTATGTTTTTCTTTTTTTTTTTTT